GGGGGGGGGGGGGGGGGGGGGGGGGCGCAGCGGCAAGGCCAAAAAACTGGCTGTGAAACAGTCCCACTTGGTGCAGCTGGTTACTAACATCAATTTGTAAAAGGGAGGACCTGTCACCTTAATGCCACAAGCTGCAGAACGTGGGCTTTTCATGTGATCAAGCCATGCCAACTGCCTTGCTCTGGGTGGAAAGAGGAATATAAGATACTAGAAAGTGCTGGCTGGTTCCTCCTGTGGCTAAGGAAGTGGACAATCCTTTGCAGGGGCTTTGTTTCCTTAAGAAGAGAATCAGCATTCGCATACAAACATATATACGGATATATTTAATGGACTCTCTCTTGCACACACGCACACACGCACTGGGTTTGTAGGTGGCGTTACAGTATTTGCATCGTAGTTTGCTTTTACAAGGAATGATTTGCAATGGGGGAGGAGGGGAACAAAACAGCATTTAAGAAAAGCCCACAAACCACCCTGCCTCCGTCTTTGTCTCTGGGCTGCACAGCAAGGCTCCAGCCCTGTCCCCAGTGATGCTACTGTTTGTACTCCCGTAGTGCCGGGGAGGCTCTGAGCAGAGTCAGGGCCTGCAGTTGTGCTGGCCATTGCCAAACCCATGTAGTCAATGGCTTTCATGGTGCTACCACAGAAGCAGAAATCCTTAGGACAGCTGGTCCAAAACCTCATCTCTGTATATGGAGGGCAGGCCATTCCAGGGGGCTGGAAAAGGGGTGGGATAGGCACAGAAGTGTGCTTCCAATGGATCCAAATGAAAAGAAATCCCGGTCCTGTGCCTTCAGGTCTGGTTGACCTTCCCGGGAGATGGGGAGGGTGCCGGGGGCTCCGAACCCCAAAACATCCAGCGGCCTTTGCACTGGCTTGAGGCGAGGATGAGTTTTGGTAAACAACCAAGGCTCTTGGAAACAGCAGCAAAGCCAAGTGGGCAGATCTGGGACACGTCCGGCTAAAAATAAAGCCTGGAAATAGGTTTTGCAGCTGCTTCTGCATGTATCCAGGAGGAGGAGAGGGCTTAGCACGAAAAATAAAGATGATGCCACCTCTTTCTCGGCCAAATTAATAACAAAAAAAAAAAAATCATCTTCGCACTGGTGAGTCGACAAGGAGATGCGAGGCGAGACAACCCTGGCTCCCCAGCCCACTGGGAGCTGGTTCGGGTCTCGCCTCCAGCCCCAACCGGAGGAAAGATGCACTTGCAATCCCTATGCACAATTACGGAGAAAAAAATGGGGTGAACATGGAGCGGGGAAGAGGCCTGGGGAATGTCGGCCTGAAAAACAACTCAATCGCCCCGCTTAGGAGACAGCTCCTCCGTCGAGCCAGGGACTGAGGGATGCAGCGGCGTGGACATGGTGTGGAAGAGGAAAGCTGTGTCTCCACAAAGGCCACAGGTCTTAGCAGCACCAGGATCCTTTCCTTTCCCCCTCAAGGGCGGCGGGGGGACAACCACCAGACCAATAAAATAAGAAAAAAAAATTGTGGCGA